TTATAAAGTCTTTTCGCTGATCTTGACTCAATGAAATCAAGAGGTAAGAGCTTCATTCTCCATAGATGATTCTTCGTAGAAATCATACTTGTCGTGAAGTCCCAGGTGAAGACCATTAAGTCTCTCGGATGCTACATCCGGTGCTTGAGATTCGAAAGACATGTCCGGAGATTGGTGCTCATGATTAAAAGAACTAAACACCCTTGAATAAATGTCCTCGTCCATGAATGGCTGATAGGCCATTAATTGCACATGTTTATGCTTCCATTCCTGAGCCGTTTGAGAGACGATTCTCGTGTTTTAAGCCGATTTCACGCTAGGTTGTGCATTAATGTCATATTTCAGGACTTGGCATGGACATGGAGGGAGTTGGAGTGAAGGGCGATGGAAGAAGAAAATACCCGATCAGGAGTTAAAATACCCGACAGGGTATAATGCAAGAGGAGGCTGGGGATAGCATATTTTGGAGGCCAGGAAACAGAAGGGGTCCCGGCCGGAGCACTTAAATACCTGATCGGGTATTTTGGACCTCGATCGGGTATTCTCCCATGGTCGCAGCGCAGCATTTTAAAATACCCGGTCGGGCACCTGAAATACCCGACCGGGTATTATGGCTGGGGATCGAGATCTGCTCCCTTTTGAGGGAAAGAAGGCCAATTTTACAAGGGTTCCGAGTTTTAGAGAAAGAAAGCAGATACCTAGAGAGAGAGAGTGACGAACCAGAATCTTCAAGCGCCCTAGATCAGTCTTCATCACCATTGGATCTCGGCTTAAGCTTGGAGAAGTGCCGATTGATTAACAGAAGCAGAATCTCACCCTTCACAGCATGTTTTCTGCATCTGAGCGAGAGTAATCCGATACCTTTGGCACCTCTAGAAGAGAACCTCAACTGAACTCTCCAACTCTTGGCTCGGGAGAGGGTGTTGGCAGAAGCACGAGGAAGGATAGTGGATCGGGAACAACCACAAGTTGAACCCGAAGTTGAATTTGAAGTTGAGGAGGAATTTGAATCAGAAGAAGAAGTTGAAACTGAGATGGCGGAGAATCAACACGTTGAAGAGGGGAATGAGAAACCGAGGACCATGGGCTATTATATGGCTCCACCTGCCCGAATATTCAACCAACCATTCTACATCCACCCGTGGTCGCCAACAATTTCAAGATAAGGCATGGCCTCATTAAAAAGATCCACAACAACATCCAGTCCCATGGGCTTAAGGATGAGTCTTCAAGGGAGCAGGTCAATAGGGTATCCGATGAGACCCTTACGTTGAGGCTTTTACCCTACTCTCTTGCGGGGAAGGAGCTCTGGTGGCTCAACAATAGGCCACCCCTCTCGATTACCTCATGGGATTACTTGATCAACAAGCTCATGGCCCGATATTTTCCATCTTCCAAGATGCCGGAATGGCATAAGAAGATCACTCACTTCGCCCGAGAGGAGGACAAGACTTTGAGGGATGCATGGGACAGGTACTATAACTATTTCCTCCAATGTCCCAATCACGGGTTTGAAGAGCAGTTTCGGATTGAAACCTTCTACGAAAATCTTCTTCAAGAGGATAAGATTCTCATTGACTCCTTGTGTCAAGGGAATTGATAAACAAGACTCCACCGTAGATGATCACTTTACTTGAGGATATGGTGACAAAGGGGTATGAATGGGGTTTGACAAGACATGGTAGAAAGGAAACCGAGAGAGGATTGCACTCTACGGTGGTGAATCCTCCACTCAGTGCAAAGATTGACTAGTTGATAATGGCGCTTCTAAAAGATAAGAAGCAAGGCAATAAGCCGGTGATGGCATTTGACTGGCATTCAAGTCCCAACCATTAGGTTGCGGAACGCCAACTGATGTATGAACCATGCACTCGGGAAGAGAAATTGAATTCCATCTCTTTTGCACGGTCCATTAGAATGTCTTCCTTGGAAGAGCTAGTGACCACCTTTGCTATTTCCTGCTCACAAAGGTTTGAGATGATAGAGAAATTCATGGAAGATGCGTCTGAGAAGTTCTCATCCATAGAAGTCGGGTTGCAAAGTCATCAATCAACCTTGACAGCCTTGACCACCAGGATGTGAATCATCACGCAAGAGGCTCTTTCTAGGAGTCAACCAAACGAAGTGGAGCTACGGCTGTAACACTCCGCAGTCCAATAGAAACCAGAGAGATGCCCATCCCAAGGAAGCCGACCGTGTCGGCAAAGCAAGCCGAGCCCACTATTGCCCCAGTACAACCAAAGAGCACAAGTGCACATGGGGAAGCAAAGAATGACTCGACACCGCAACCAATACAATCAGAGGGAAAAGAAAACTCACCACTTCCCTACCCTGCGAGCCTCCACAAGAATCGCATGGCACCGGAGTTTGCTCACTTCATGGAGTTAATGAACCAACAATACCTTAACATTCCATTTTTTGAGGCTCTCGCCCAGATGCAAAAGTATGCAAAGTACTTGGAAGACCTCTTCAACAACAAGAAGAAGCTGGAAGGGATGTCCACCATGACACTAAACGAGGAATGCTCGATCATCCTGAAGAATCAGCTTCCCGCGAAGCGAAAAGATTCAAGGAGTTTAACTATCCCTTGTTTTATTGGCAACATGTGCATAGGAAAGTCCTTGGCGGACCTAGGGGCTAGTATTAATGTGATGTCATATGGGTTGTTTAAAAAGTTAGACCTAAGTGAACCTTGAGCCACTAGGATGAATATCCAGTTAGCAGACAGATCCATAGTGCATCCCAATGGGATTGTTGAGGATTTGCTCGTTGAGGTTGGAACCCCCATTTATCTAGTCGAATTCGTCATTCTTGGCATCGATGATAAAGTGGGCATTCCCCTTATTTTGGGTAGGCCCTTCCTGGCCACTCCCAAGGTTTTAATTGATGTGCATGGAGGAAAATTAGTGCTAAGGGCAGGAAATGAAAAAGTCACCTTCTCCATTGATGATAGCATGAAGTTTTCTTGTTGGCATGATGATGTTGAGTATTGCGATGAAGTGTCTGATTTTGTAGCGGCACTCAGTTCTACTTATCCTTTTGAGGAGTGTCTTGTGGTAGGGACAAATTGTAACACCTTAGGCAAATCGCACATCAACAAAGCACAGGAGAGATCCATGGTTCATAAGTAGGAAACTGGACTTAACTGGCAAGGCGCGTTTTGGGTGAAACGGAGGAGTTCTTGTGAGAACTCCGAAGTTAAACGTGCTCAGTGTGGAGTACAACAAGGATGGGTGACCTTAAGGGAAGTCACCCTGAATTTCACCCCAAGTCGAAATCCGTGCGGATGTGGGGGCCCAAAGCGGACATTATCTTGTCGGGAAAAGGTTTGGGATGTTACAAAATTTGCACGGAGGAGCAGCAGGAGGAGGAACAATGCCCAAGGAACGAGGAAGCCGACATTTTGACCTCGGACTGGGAGGTGGACATTTTGCGTCCCATGCCTAAGATCCCTACCTCCTTGGAAGAGCCACCAAAATTGGATTTGAAGCCATTACTTAGCCAACTCGAGCAGGCATTTTTTAGGGATGGCGGCAAGCTCCTAGTCATCTATAATTCAAATCTCACATAAGAGAAAAGGCCAAATTGATTGAGGTCCTACAGTGTCACGAGAAGGCAATTGAATGGAAGATCACAGATATCCGAGGAATCTGCCCCTCCTTCTGTTCACATAAGATCCTCATAGAGGTGGGCGTCAAGCCAGTTCTCCAACCTCAACGATGGGTGAATCTTACCCTTGAAGAAGTGGTGAAGGCCGAGGTAATCAAGGTTTTGGATACCCGAATCAATTACCCCATTTCTGAAAATTTATGGGTAAGCGCGACACTGCTGGTATCGAAGAAAAGAGGAATGATGGTAGTGGCTAATGAAAAGGAAAAGCTCATTCCTACAAGGACGGTAAATAAATGGCGGGTGCGCATTGATTATCGTTGATTAAATGATGGTACTCGGAAGTATCATTTCCCAATGCCTTCATTGACCAAATTCTGGAGGATGGCGGGTCACGACTGCTACTGCTTCTTGGACGAAATGTCTGGACACTTTCAAATCCCCATCGCCCCAGAGGATCAAGCTAAAACTACCTTCACTTTCCCTTTTGGAACATTAGCTTATATAGGTGCATACCATTTGGATTGTGCAACTCTCTGATCAGGGTTTCTTTGGATTGGAACCTTCCTTCTGAGCTTATGTGTGACACAAGTGACTATGTAGGGGGAACGGTGTTAGGGAAAAGTAAGGGTAGGCATTTTCAACCCATATGCTATGCCACAAAGATGTTGAATGGGGCTCAAGAGAACTACACAACTAGGGAGGAGTTTTTGGCGGTCATCTTTCCTTTCGACAAATTTCGGTCGTATTTGGTTCTCTCAAAAGTCATTGTTTACACCGACCACTCCGCCATCCTATTTTGATGAGCAAGGCTAACGCCAAACCCCTTCTAATCAGGTGGATCCTGCTTCTTTAAGAGTTCGATGTGGAAATCATAGACAAGAAAGAAGACGAGAACCTAACGGCAGACCACCTCTCTCGAATCGAAGGCCCTTGTGGAAGCAACATCCAAGGCAAGATGAATGACTCCTTCCCCGATGAGCGATTGTTTTTGCTTTCCATGGTGGAGAGTGATACCCCTTGGTTAGGAGACTTCACCAATTATTTAGTAGGAAAGCAATTTCCAAAGGGGATGAGTACTCGTGAGAGAAGGGAAGTTCTTCTCCGACCTCCAATATTGCTTTTGGGATGATCCTAACCCCTTCCGAATCAGAGCCTATGGGATCAACCGGAGGTCTATCCCACAAAGAGAAATGAGGGCTATTCTTATTCAGAGCAACAAGGGCCGACTGTAGGGCATCATGGGGGAACCGTACGGCGAGAAATGTGCTCCAATCCATATTCTACTGGCCTTTGTTGTTCTGGGATGTCGATGCATTCGTGCGACAATGTGATAGCTGTCAAATGACAGTTAAAATATCTATAAAAAAATGAGATACCCCAAACAATTTCTATTACTTGCGAGATTTTTTACGTTTGGGTATCAATTTCATGGGTCATTTTCCCTCATCTTTTGGAAACAAGTACATTTTAGTGGTTGTGGACTATGTCTCGAGGTGGGTTGAGACTCAAGCTCTACCCACCAATGATGCAAGCTCTACCCACAAGTGATGCAAGAAGAGTATGCGAACACCAAGCTTGAGGAGTGGCGTCATCATGCCTATGAGAACACTAAGTTGTACAAGGAAAGAACAAAGCACCTACACGATGCTCGAATGAAAGGGGACAAGGACTTTTAACCGATGGAGGAGGTACTAATGTACAACTCCAGGCTCTGCATGGTGGAAATTCAAAGTGAACAGTCGCCACCTCAAACATTACCTCCAAGGTGAGTTAATTCCACAAAAGGAGGTGGTGCTACTGCAAGACATCTACTCCCAAAGCTCCGTCTAGCTTAAAACGTTAAATTCGCGCTTGTTGAGAGGCAACCCAACACTATTGTGAGTTTTCCTTCTTTTAACTGTGATGTTAAATATTGTTATGTGTAATAACCCCGCCTCGAGCGAGAATGTGAGTGTGTTTGTTGTGTTTACTTCTTTTTGAAGCTCTAAATATCCTACCTCGGCTTATGTCCAACTTTCACTTGCCATTATTCGGTAACTTCTTCTGCCAACCTTTTTTCTCCATTGAGTACAATGGCGTGCTTAAGTGGGGAGGGTGTATCATTTGCGATTGGCATGTGAATGTGTTTGTGAATGCTTGATCAAAGTGGTCGGGTTATAGAGAATCTAGTGCTTATTGGCATTGACCTTGGATTGATTGCTTGCGATTGAGTGCATCATATTATGATGATTGAGAATTGCATTATCTTGGTGCAAATGTTTAGTTCTCATATGTGTGGAAATGAATGGATGTCTTGACTTGAGAACTCATTGACTTCAATTGCCATGCATCGAAATTTTGAAATTGTAATAGATGATTGGGTGACTAGGTAGCCATGTGAGATTTGTGCCGATCGTCTTTTTCTTGTGTAATAGATTCATCTTACCATGGCGAGTAACATTAATGTTGTCATTGGCGAGTATGATGGAGTAATAGGATTAGTCCACGCCCAAAATTTGATTGTCCCCAAACATTATATCCCCTAATCAACCCCTTTGAGCCGTGTAACGTAGGGTCGTTCTCTAGTAGGAGCTTTTGCTACTTGAGCTTAATTGAAATTGATAGAGCGACCCTTTGCTTTCTTTGTGTCTAAACCGTTGTGAGTCATCCTTCTGTCTTGGAGCTCTCATTCTTGAGCTCCATTGAGGTTCTACATAGGTGGATTTTGTACGGTTTCTACCAGGAATGAAAAGGTAGTGTTGGAGGAAAGTTCTTAATGGTGAGCATTGCTCGTAAGTTCTAAAAGGTGGGATGTGTTTAGTTCTGAAAAGAAAAGAAAAGAAAAAGAAGTGAAAAGAGGTAATAATAGGGGTAAATAAAAGTAGAGAGTTGCCACAAAGTTATTCTATATGCTCTATAAAGGTGTTTCTTGCCACCCAAGCTTTTGAAACGCCTACTTGCTTATTGACCTCCTTCACTACTATGCTTGAAAGGTTGTTAGCAGGTTTAGCCGAGAAAGTGTGCTTGAATGTAGTTCGTGGTTGGTAGTGGTTTGGAAGAAGGGAAGTGTGGTTTTTGGCCGATGCCAGTGGCAGTTGCTTGTAAGAAACGTCCTAATCGAAACCATAAGACCTTGTGTTGGTTTTAGGTTGAATATGTGGAACCTCATACTATCTTTTCCACCACCAAAAAGGCTTTTTCCCTATGTTCAAGACCATTGCCAATCATTTGAACCTGTGTCTAAGACCTCCAGACAAGCTAGTGACGACAACCATCGTATGAACTCTAACATTAAGAGGTTTTCGTCGTGGTGAAGAGACAATAAGGTTGAGTGTTCATCTCTTGCATCAAATGGTCCTGACCCCACCGGTCGAGAGTGAGTGATTTATTCACATTTTGTATGTTCATATCTTATCCCGGTGAGGACCTAGTTTACTCATTCGTTTGTTCCTATGGCTTGATCTTTATGTATGGATAATTGTGATTTTTCAATGGTTTTGTCAAGGTATGTGTTGGTTTGTGAACAGAGTGAGACCTTTTCATTTGCACATTCTTAATGAAATCGAATGTTGTTTGCGGTGGTTGCCAATATTGCTTGTGATTGTCCATGTGTTGATGCCCAATAACCATTGAGATTCATCCACTTTTAGCCCTTTGATATGTCCCCAAGTTATTTTGTTAACTTGCGATATTACCTAGTTTGAAATTGGTTTGCTTGGGGACAAGCAAACATCTAAGTTTGGGGGAGTGATTCGAGTCCAATTGCACACATTTCTTCCCATATTCTTTAGATGGTTGAGGCATTTTGTCTCCGTGAGGTTCAGTTTTATGCTAGGTTGTGCTTGTTCTAGTGTGTTTCAGATCCTAGCAGGTGGAATCGACCTCGGGAACGAAAGTTGGACGAAACGGGCAAAAATGGATCAAAGGGAGCAAACAACCAAGGATCATGGTGGAAGCTAGATGTTCTCGGTCAGGCCGATCGTGATAAAGAGGCTGAGACCGTGAAGAGCAAGGCGATCAGGAAAGTTTTTGTGCCTCGCTGGCTTAAGAGAAATCGCGGTTGATTTGGGAATCAAGGTGGAAGCTATATGTTCATGGTCATCCAAGCTTCAAGATTTGGGAATCTCATCCACCCGGGTTGATTTCTACACCCAAGGAAGAAGGCAAATATCTCAAGATGGTCTTTTCTCTTCTCCTTTGTGTATTCCCTAGTCTTAGCATGGAGTAGTTCCCTTCTTTCACTTAGATTTTTGTGAAACCTAGCTAGAACTTATGTGATTGATTTTATGAATTGAGTGTTTTGTGTGCGGTTTGTGTTTTAATGCAACTATTGAGGTATTTTCATGAAGGTTGAGTTGTGTTTCCCATTTCTCACTATCATGCCATTTTGACCTAGGTAGAGGGAAATCTCCCTTCTTGCTGAGAGGTTTTTGAAAGACGGAATTCCTTGACGAAATTGAGCCACCTACTTAGGCCGAATTTGGGCAAACCTCATACCACATTTTAGCACCTTGTTGGTTGTAGTTTAGCCGCCTGGACTAAGGTTCGAGGGAGAAGTCTTGGCAACCCTTAGTCGATTGGCCAAGAGAGCTACTTCATTAGCTTGATTTGATTTACCTTGGCCTATCGACCAAGAGAGTGAAGCTCTTTCACTAGTTTCGCTCTCCTACGGTTTACAACCACTTTTCCACACACCTGCATTCTTTTTGACTAATCTTGATACCTAGATAGGAAGAGCAAGATCCGAGTGAAGTCTTCTGAATTAGTGTTCAAAAACATTTACCTTTTCCCTTGTTTTCAATTCTAATCCGTAGTTTTAACTAAAAATTGATTTCTAGATAATGTTTCAAACAGTTGAAGTAGGAGTACATGGACCGGCCCGGGTTTGACATTTATATATTTGCTCCATACTGCACCCGACTAGAGTTTATACTCGGGCTCTAGTTTGGACTTTAAATCATGGTGTAGTAGTAGTGAGTTATCTCGAGTTGTATTTCTTAAAAGTGTGTGCAGGAAGGTGTATGACCTGGAGTAATCCGACACCTTTGGCCCCCCTAGACGAGAACCTCCACCGAAATCTCCGACTCTTGAATCAGGAGAGGGAGTTGGGAGAAGCAAGAGGAACAATAGCAGATCGGGGGCAACCAAAAGTTGAACCTAAAGTTGAATTACTAGTTGAGGAGGAAGTTGAATTGGAAGAAGAAGTTGAGGTTTAGATGGCGGATAATCAACACGCCCAAGAGGAGAATGAGGAATCGAGGACCATGGGCTACTATATGGCTCCACGGGCTGAGGATATTCAACCAAGCATCTTCAATCCACTCGTGGCCGCCAACAATTTCAAGATTAAGCTTGGCCTCATCACGATGATCAAGCACAACATTCAGTTCCATGGGCTTAAGGATGAGTCTCCAAGGGAGCATGTCTAGTGATTCCTTGAGATAGCAGGAAGTTTGAAGATCAATGGGGTATCCGAAGAAGCCCGAAAGTTTAGGCTTTTCCCCTACTCTATTGTGGGGAAAGAGCTTTGATGGCTCAATAATAGGCCACCTCTCTCGATTACCTCATGGAACGACTTACTTAATAAGTTCATGTGTCCACCTTCCAAGAAGGAAAAATGGCGTAAGAAGATCACTCACTTTTCCCAAGAGGAGGACAAGACTTTGAGGTATGCATGGGAGAGGTACTCTGATTTTTCCCTCCAATGCCCACATCACGGGTTTGGAGAGCAGTTTCGGATTGAAACCTTCTACGATGGTCTTCATCGAGAAGATAAGATTCTCATTGACTCTTTGTGCCAAGGGAACTAGATGAACAAGACTCCATCCGAAAAGACTGCCTTATTTGAGGATATGGAGACAAAGGGGTGTGATTGGGGTTTGACGAGACGTGGTAGAAGGAAAGCCGATAGAGGAGTACACCCCATGGAGGAAAATCCTCCGCCCGCCGATAAGATTGATGATTTGATATCTATGCTTCTACAAAATAAGAAGCAATGCAAAGTCGGTGATGGCGTGTGATTGTTTCAAGTCCCAACCACGAGATTGTGGAGTGCCAATTGATGAAGGAAGCAAGCACTCCGGAAGAACAAGTGAGCTTCATCGCCAATGCTAGAGGGGTCAACAACAACAACAACCCTTATAGCAACACTTATAATCCGGTCTATGCACCCCTACTTCAATCGTATGTAACATTATCTAGCAATCAATTTTTAGTGGAAACTACGAATTACAATTGAAAGCAAGTGAAAAGGTAAATGGTTTTGAAAACTATATGAGAAAATTTCGCTCGGGTGTTGCTTCCCTAGCTAAATATCAAGATTAGTCGAAAAGAATGCAAGTGTGCAGAAAAGTGGTTGTAAATCGTAGGAGACCGCAACTAGTGAAGTAGCTTCACTCTCTTGATCGATGGGCCATGGAATGTCCAATTAAACTAACGAATTAGCTCACTTAGCCAATCGAGTAAGGGTTGCCAAGGCTACTCCCTCATACGTTAATCCGGATGGAAAAACAACAACCAACTTAAAGAGATAAGACGAAGTTTGAGGTTTGCCCTAATTCAGGCTAAGTAGGTGGCTCAATTGGCCAAGAAATTCCAGCTTATAAAAACATCTTAGCAATAAGGGGATTTCCCTCTACCTAGTTCAAATTGGCATAATAATGAGAAATGGATAATACAACTCAAACATTCTAAAAATACGTCCATACTTGCACTAAAACACAAACCACACACAAAACATTCAATTCATACAACCTATCACATAATTCTACCTAGGATTTACAACACCCAAGTGAAAGAAGGTAACTACTCCATGCCTAGACTAGGGAAGACAACAAAGAAGGGAGAAAATACCATGTTCTGGTGTTTTCCTTCTTCCATTGATGTAGAAATCAACCTTGGTGGATGAGATTCCCAAATCTTCGGGCTTGGAGCAAATCCTAGCTTTCTTCTCCTCTCTTGTTCGTCACTCTCTCTCTCTAAAATATGAGGATGAAGATGATATTCTCTCACTAGTCTCTCCCTTTCGTTTCATCTCCCTTCTCCTTATATACCCAGATTGCGCGTGTTTCAAGGTCCCAGTTCACGACTGTGAACTTGAAGCTTGGATTGTGATCTCGAACAAAAATGTGTTGTATCATTTAAGGACTTCACGATCGGGAGCAGATTATCACGGTCGCGGGACCATTATGTTGTTTAGGCTTGCGAGGCAAAAAAATATGCTCTTGTTTCCTTGCTCTTCTCTGGGCTTCATTATCACGATCGACGTAACCGTGAAAAAATGGCATCCACCGCTATCCTCGCATGTTTTCTCCCTTCGATCCGTTTTCCCCCCCTCTCGTCCAACTTTCGATCCTGAACCCAATTCCACCTGCTAGGACATGAAACATGCTAGAAACACGCCCAACCTAGCATAAAATCGAACCTCACAGGATTAAAATTCCTCAAACACCTCAAGAATATGGGCAGAAAACATGTGCAATTGGACCCGAGTCAGAGTACAAGTTCCCAAAAGTTTGAGAAGATTGAGTAATTTATGGAGGTTGGAACAAACAAGTTTAACTCGGTCTAGGCGGGTTTAAGAAGTCATCAAGAAAGTCTCCAAAAATTGGAGATTCAAATCGGCAATATTGTTGGGATCCTCACCAAGACTTGATTCGGGTCTAATTGTACATATTTTACCACCATTTTCCGTAGATGTTTGAGACATTTTTCTTCGTGAAGTTCGGTTTTACGCTAGGTTTTCCTTCTTTTTAGTATGTTTCATATCATAGCAGGTGAAATCAACCCATGGAACGAAAGTTGGACGAAAAGGGGCAAAAATTGGTCAAAAGGGAGCAATCAGCAACAGTTCACGGTGGAGGCAAGCAGTTCACGGTCAGCCAGATCGTGAAAATGAGGCATGGGACGTGAAGCGCGTGGAGTCCAGAAATTTTTTGTCCATCTCCTGAGCATTCGGTGGTTCACGGCCAGTCGACCGTGCTAATTAGCTCTAGACCGTGAAGACCGTTAATGAAACGACACACTTTTGCTCAACATCACGGTCCAAGCTTATAGTTCACGACCATGAACTGGGATCATGAAAATTCGTCGATCTGGGTATAAAAGGAGGGCTGAGTTGAAGGATAGAGGGGGAGAACCTAGTGTGAGAAACTTCTTCTTATTCGGATTTCTAGAGAGAGAGTGGCGAACAAGAGAAGAGAAGAAGGTTAGGGTTTCATCCAAGCTCCAAGATTTGGGAATTTCATCCTCAAAGGTTGATCTCCACACCTAAGGAAGAAGGCAACCCTGTCATGATGGCTCTTCTCTTCTCCTTTGTGTTATCCCACTTCTTAGCATGGAGTAGTCCTTTCTTTCACTTGGGTGTTTGTAAACCATAGCTAGAATTATGCGAATGCTTGTATGGATTGAATTATTTGTGTTTGGTTGTGTTTTAATACAAGTATTGAGGTATTTTCATGAAGGTTGTGTTGTGTTTTTGCATTTCCAACTCTTATGCCAATTTGACCTAGGTAGAGAGAAATCCCCTTCTTGCTAAGAGGCTTGTAAAAGCTAGAATTCATTGGCCAAATTTTGTCACCTACTTAGGTTGAACTAGGGAAAACCTCATACTATGTATTAGCACTTTATGTAGGTTGTATTTTGGTCGTCCGGATCATGGTTTGACGGAGAAGCCCAAGCAACTCTTAGTCGATTGGCCAAGAGAGATACCATGGTACCTTGATTCGAAATCCCTAGGCCTAGTGACCGAGAGAGTGGATCCTTTTTACTTGTTGCACTTCCTTACGCTTTACAATCGCTTTTACCGCACATTTGAATTCGATCCAACAAATCGTGATTACTAGTTAAGGGGAGCAACACCAGGGTGAAGCCTTCTCAATTAGTGATCAAAACCATTTATTTTTTCCAATTGATTTCAATTTTAGTTCATCGTTTCAACCAGAACTCGATTGCTAGATAATGTTTCAAACAATTGAAGTAGGGGTACATGGACCTACCCGGGTTGGAATTTTAAAACATACTTTCCCTATATTGCACCCCGTTATGGTTTATACTTGAGCCTTAGTCGGGATTTTTATTGTGATATTAGGGACGAGTCAAGTGGGCTCTTTTTCGTGGGCTTTTGTGGTTATCCACACCCCTCCAAGTACGCGTCCCCTAAACCCATGTAAGTCACCTCGATCTAGGCTATCATATCTGGGGGCATTAAGCTCATAGCTCTTTTTAATGGCTACTACCCACCGTCCATACCGAGGTTTTTTCCGGGTTCTATCCAGGGAGGCATTCCTAAGGCAGGGGTTCGATCTCCATGACCACCAAAGGATTCTATTCATACATCTAACCTTAATTTGCTTGATGGCGCATACATGTCTAACCCTAAAAATCCATACCTAGCATAGAAGCTCAAGTAAGCTAGTAAAGAAGATTAGGGCGAATTAACCAAACGCAATCAAAGATAGGAATAGCATTCAATTCAACTAGATAAGCACATCCATTCATTAAAACCCTAAAATATCCATACATATGTAGTAACCCTAAAACTAGGGTTGGGGGTTTAGAACCTCTAGTACATTAGAGGACTACTTCATAAAGGAGGGAAGAAGATAAATAGAAGAGGTGGAAGAAGACTTGATGTCGAGGAAGGTGGCTCCTTTCTTCTAGCTCCTTCTCCTTCTTCTCCTCTTCTCCTTGCTTCAGCTTCTCTCTCTTCTCTCTCTCTCTCTCTCTCTCTCTCTAAAACAACAACTCTTATCTTCAAAATCAGCTCCCGTGAATGGGGGAAGGGGTCTTCTATTTATAGGCATCAGAGGACAGAGAAGTTCATGGGTAGGAAGGGTAGAGATCATGGGTGCGATCTTCTTGACGAAGGCCGCGATCTCAAGGTGCTGCCGTTTCGGACTTTGGGGGCGAGGAGTTCGAGGGTCGACTTCACGGTCACGATCCATGAGCTGCGGCCGCAAACTTCCTCGCAGTCAGTTTTGTGCTTCGTTCGTGTAATGCTTGGGGAAACTCTTTGTTTCTCCTCGGTTGCTTCTTCACGAAGTTCGCCCTCTGATCCCTCCAATTCGCGGTTGTGATCTTGGGCTTCCAAGCCGCTATCTTCTGCTTGGCTTCGCAGCCATGTGTCTCGGCCGTGATCTCCTCCAGGCTGCAATCTTTAGTCTCCTGCCTCATTGCTACACTTGCGACCTTATTTTGTAACTAATTCGCATGTATTGTCTAAAGCAGTAAAGCACCCTAAAATCACATCAAAATCAAATAGGAACGAAATAGAGATGCAATTGACGTTGTTCAAACAATTATGCATATGAATTGGCACGAAACAAACCTTAATATGAAGTGTAAATAACATTGATTTAGGTGTTACCACATGTGCTCTTATATCGAAACAAAATCAGTAAAACAATTGACTAGATAATGGTAAAAGGCTGAGTACTAGTGCACATAGTCTTTGTGATACGACCTTACTTCCTGCTGTAGTACCTTAGAACGATAGGTACCCTTGCCTATTTTTCCTATGTTAGTTACGGGTGATCATGAACCCTTGCCTAGATATGTGATAGATTTTAGTATTTGAATTCTAAGTGTGTTGGATGTGTGTTTTAATATAATGCTTGAGTTATTTTCATGATTCTTGAGTTTTGGTTTCCATATCTCGTCTTTGGGTCAAATTAACCAAGAAGCCCACCACTTGGGCAAATTGGGTAACCACTTCTAGGACAAGTAGGGACAAGCCTCAAGCATCGATTTAGCATCACGATTTAAGGAGATTGGCTCTAGTCGAGATTTTAATTGTGTAGTTAGGAACGAGTCAACATGGCGTGGTTAGGGGAAGCAAAAGCCACTGATTTAAGAACTTTTCCTTAGCTACTAGTGACATTGATTGTGATTTTTAATTTTGTATACAATGCAACAAGTCATCTTCTATATATCGAAATGTTTCATGTTTAGAGCGGGATAATCAAACGGGTATACTGAGATAGCGATAATTGATTCGGGCCTAATTGTACATATTTTACCCCCATTTTCTTTAGGCGTTTGTGGCAAGTGTGCTCGTAAAAGGGTGGTTTTAAGCGAGGTTTCTTGTGTTTTATCATGATTCAGGTTGCACGTGAACAACAAGGCTTCTAGGGCCAAATCTCAAGTTATTGACGCTAATATAGTTCACGGTCACTAAGACCGTGAACTGGAGTCGTTGCCTGTGAACCACTGCAAGCGAAGCGGTGCATTTCAACGCCCATCTTGAGTTCACGGACGCATTTCAGAGTTTACGGCCATGAACTGAGACCGTGAACTGACCACGATCCCTGTTTAAAAGAAGAGCTGAAAGGAAGATAGAGGAGAGCCCAAAAAGAGTGAGAAAGTCTTCTTCTTCAGATTTTAGAGAGAGAAAGACGAACCAAATGAGAAGGAGGCTTGGGTTTTGCTCCAAGAGTGGATTTGGGAAGATTCTCCCCAATAGAAGTTCAACACAAGTGCAAAGAAGATTGGAAGCCTCCCCATGATGGTTTCTACCTCTTCCCCTTGTGTTTCTCCCATTTATAACATGGAGTAGATTTCTTTTTCACTTGGGTGTTGTGAAACCCTAACTATCTACCATGTAGTTTTTGTTATATGAATTGAATGATTGTGTATGAGTGTTGTTTAATTCAATGATTTAGGTATTATCCATGTTGATTGTGCATGTTTGTGCTTAACAATCTAATTGGCCAATTTAACCTAGACTAAAGAGGGAAACCCCCTTTCAAGGGAGGCTCAATTGAATTGGAATTCTTATGGCTTTTTAAGTCACCTATCTAGGTTAATTTAGGGCAAATCTCGATGTTGGATTAAGCAATTTGGTTAAGCGCGATTAAGCCGAACAACCATTGGGTTGAGTGAGGGAGTAAGTCAATCATCGATTGCCTAAACCGAGAGGGCCGAGTGACAACCTATAATGCATCCCTCAGTTTAGCAATCGAGAGTGTGCTCTACGACCATATTTGTGTCCCCTAGCGGTTCGTGGTCACCTTGCCCATAGCAATCGTTTCGATTCACATACCATGGTAGTAGTTAGGGGGAAGCGACACTCGAGTGATCCTTCTCATAAAAGAGCTTTCAAAGTCATTTACTTTTACCTTGCTTTACTTTAATTAACAAACTTTTCAACCAAAACCGAGTCGCTAGATATGATTCAAATGACTGAAGTAGGGGTATACAGACCGGCCCGAGTCGATATTTAAACATACTTGCCCTGTACTGCACTCGACTAAAATTTATACTTAGACCTTAGGTGGGAATTAATTGTGGTATTCGGGACAAGTCAATAATCCTGACCACTTTTCGAGACTCCTAGTCTGGTCTCTAGTGATTATCTCCTAAGCTTCACTATTTGAGACATTAGCACTGATAGAAATAGCAACGGGTCAGATTTGGGCGGATACTACTAATCCCATGCCGTGTCCCGCTCTTTGATTCATTACCCGCTCTACCCCGTGATCTGTAACGGATCACCTATTTTTGCTCCAAACTCCGCCCCACACGGAAAAGATTTTACCCTCCCCGCCCTGTCTTCACTCTTCAACCATCTGAGAAATTCAACATGAAAATAGGTTAGCTTTCCAAGAGGCAAAAGCACCTCAACTCCTTAAGATAAAACAACAGCAGTAGGCTGCCAAATAGCACACCCTCGCAGATGAAATCAAACCCCAACGGAAGAAAGAAAAACAAGAGTTAGGCTATAGGCACAAAAGCTTACTCGCTACCTTATGGAGCAAGAGATCAACATCAACAAACAAGAGGAAACAAACATCAAAGGATTGGAAGGATATTGGTGCAGGCAGAAGCAATATATGATGGAGAATGTCAACTTTGATTTGGGAAGGCGGGGGGATGGGAAAAGAGGAAAAGGCTTCTCCTCTGTTAAGAGAAAAGTAAAACCCATGTAGATTGTGGCTTGATAACATAAAATAATAATAAAGATAATCATGCGTATACGAAGAATCAGCAACAACAAGTAGGTGGGGAATTTAATTTAGAGTGGGGAGGGAATTATGTATGGCCAGTATAGGTGTCAATCGGGGCGTGTTTGGCGCGGGTTCAATCGGGTTGCGGGTTAGTCGGGTTTTGAATTCATCGAGTTGGGGTTCATCGGTTTAGTTTTAATCGGGTCCGGGTTCAATCGCGTTGCGGGTTTATCAGGTTCGGGTTCAATCGGGTTGCAGCAAATCGGGTTACGGGTTCATCGAGTTTCTGGTCGGGTGGGTTGCAGGCGGATCGGGTTATGGGTTGTTCGGGACAGCGCATCGAGTTACTTACTCCTTACTTGCTACCAACTTTCACATTTTACTATACTAATTTAAAATATTTTCACAATTTTTAACCAACTTATTTCTACCTCATATATATACTTAATTTAAAAAAAAACTAGTCAAAATGTTGAATCAAATTGTATGATTTGCAAACTTGTCATGTAATTAATCATAATTGGTAAGGTGCACTAGATAGTAGTAATGTCGATATCAACATTTGCAACCAATAGACACTATTAGCAAACCAAATAAAACACCACTTTAAAAACAAAGAAGAAAAACACTTTCACTTATCTCAATATTTTTCGGCAGCAATTTAGATTAATCCAAACAAAAATTGGGCAGCAATATAGATCAATCAAAACGAAAATTGGGCGGCCTTTTGGAGCGGGAATGAAGAAGTTGGGTGGCAATGCAATGGGAAGCAAAATTGAGTAACAAAAAAAGACATGAATTATATATATAATAAATTACAAGCTTAATTTAATTAAAGTATAAACTTTTTGTTTAACAAAAAATATATGAATCATGGTTCATGAAAAATTATTCAAAGTCATTGTCAATCAATAATCCTAATTTATATCCATATGCAAAATCTAGACAAGACAAGACAAGACAAGACAAGGTTCTCTCTCTCTCTTCTCTGATCTCTGAGCGCTCGTAAGATCTGATCGATGGCTGCCATCGCCGATGGAGCCTCCCAAGGCGCCGATAGTGACGGCCGGTCCTAGGCTTCCTTGTTTCATGTTGCTGAGGAGAATCGCTTGGACTATTATGAGCCAAAATTTGTCAATGGATCGCTTAGAATACCTAAGTCGGTGATTGATGATGGGGAAAAGCATTGGAACCACAGCTTTCTTGGGCAATTTCTTGTGCATCCGTCTTCAATCTCTGCGGTACGTTTCTGGGCTAACTGGATCTGGGGTAGAGATGGTGAAGTGAAGGTTTCTATGGTTGAACACAGACTGGTTCTCTTCCAGTTTCCATCGGAGGTGACTTTTCGCTGGGTATTCGAGTGAGGTCCATGGCATTACAGGGAGAAAATTATATGTTTGCGTCGCTGGGTTCCTGGAATTAGGACGATGGAGATAAACAATTCTGCTATTCCAGTGTGGGTCAAGTTATCAGGTATTCCTGCTGAGCTAGCCTTACAGGAGGGAATGGGGAGAATTGCGAGTTCAATTGGTAAGCCTATGTGTATGCATCATTCAGTTTCCCAGAGAAAGAAGATAGGGGCAGTAAAGGTCTGTGTGGAGGTCAGTTCCAAAAAACCTTCGGTAAACAAGATTAGTATTACCCGTGATGATATGGAAGAAATGTTTATTGGGGTTAAATATTGTGGATTACCTCGTTGTTGTGTTGCATGTGGTGTCTTTGGTCATGATTGTTCGATGCCTCTTCTAGGAGTTCCAACTAAGAGGGTATGGCGACTAAAGAAAACACAAGTTACTCCATTGCAAGATCCTGTCACTCTTGAGAATGAGGGGGATTTTGTTCTAATAGTTTGGGATGGAGCATCTGTGAAGGGTAAAGAAGTGATAATAGATTCCATTCCTCCTATCACCTAGAGTGTGCTTCCTTCCCAAGAGGAGTTAAACAAAGTCAATAACGATGCTAAACCTAAGTCTGTTCCCAGAAAGTCTACACCAGTTTTGCACTCCAACGCATTTGATTTACTTTGTGGTAGATACATAAAGTTGCAGGCACCTCCGAAGAAACCAGGTGGACATGAGGGTCTTAGAAGTAAGGGAGCCACTAAGGTGGCTGCTCCTCATAGATGACTACTTTAATTTGGAATACAAGGGGTTTTAATAGCCCCTTGAAGCACACTTTTGTGCTTACTATCTACGAGTTCATAAGGTTTCACTTTTTTGCGCTTCTTAAAACCAGAGTACAAAAAGAAGATAGTATTGATGAAATAAGGGAGAAATTTGTAGGGTATCACTTACTGACAACTATTCCAAGAATAAATTAGGAAGAATTTAGATTGGGTGGAGTGATGATATGAAGGTGAAAGTGTTGAAAGAGGAAGAGAAATTCATTCATTGTTTAGTAGCAGGGTAGCGGGGGACTCGGTTCTTCTTCACTGCTATGTATAGATCAAATGATGAAAAGGAAAGTTTACTGACTTATAGAACCGTGGTTCATTGGAAGGTGCAGGGTTTTCCTTGGATGATTGGGGGTAATTTTAATGCTATTATGTGTCCTGCAAAAGCTTCAAATTCGGTTCCTATATCCACAAGCATGACAGATTTTAGGGATTGGGTGGAGCAGATGGAGGTTGTTGATCATAAGGCCACAGGTCCTGTCTTTAATTGGGCCAATCAGCAGCAGCAGCTCAATCTTATTGCCAGGAATCTAGACAAGCTTATGATGAATGTGGACTGGTTTGACAGATTTTCTGATTGTGTGGTGGAGTTTCTGCCTCCTGATTTTTCTGACCACTGTGGGATTCTAATCCATCCCCATGTACCAGCCAAGAGTTTCCCAAAACCTTTTTGGTTTTATGACATGTGGTTGGAGCATCCCTCTTTTAATAATCTCATGCGTGGGTGTTGGCTTCAGGGCACTTCTCATTCAGGTTTGTTTGGAGTTAAGAATAAGTTGGCTTCATTAAAGACAGAACTGAGAAAACTAAATAAGGAAGCTTACTCGGACATTTCTGGAAGAGTGAAAGAGAAGAAACAATAAATGAAAGCTAAGCAGATCCAAGCTTTAGAACTTCCGTCTGAGATCCTGTTTGAGGAGGTCAAAGTGCTAACTAAGGAATTTCTTCACTTGTCTTCAGCTGAGGAAGCTTTTAAACAAAAATCTCGCATCAGTTGGCTGTGATTAGGGGACAAAAATTCTTCACATTTCCATACCTCTGTTAAAATTTGAACTGCCAAAAAGCAAATAAGGAAACTTATCGCTTCAGGTGGAGAGGAAATAACAGAGGTTTAAGGAATTGCTGACAAATCTGTTAGATTCTATAAGAAGCTATTTGGGGTGGTAAATTCTAAAGTTCAGGTTGATAGCAGTTTTATTTAGAACTGCATAAGGGGACGGTTAAATGCTGGTGATCGGAAGCTCTTGTGTGACAGAGTCACTACTCAAGAAGTTAAGACTGCACTGTTTGAAATGGATCTTTCCAAATCCCCAGGACCTGATGGTTAGAACGCTGCTTTCTTTCAAAGATGTTGGGGCGTTGTGGGACCAAATATTACTCAAGGAATTCAACATTTCTTTAGTTTAGGACAGCTGCCAAGAAGTATGAACTCAGCATCCCTAACTCGCATACCTAAAGTACCAAATGTTGATAACCTTTCTGCCTATCGCCCTATAGCTTGTATAAATGTCCTCTACAAAATTATCTCAAAAGATCTTTCTAACCGACTGAAGAAAGTTCTGCCCTCTATCATTAGTAGAAACCAAACTGCTTTTATTCAGGGGAGAAGTATTATTTAAAATATTCCTATGGCACAAGAGATAGTATAAAACTATAATAGGAATCACATTTCTTCTCGAGGGGCTGTGAAAGTGGACCTTAAGAAGTTTTTTTATTCTGTAAATTGGGAGTTCCTGCTGTGTGTGATGGTGAAGATGGGGTTCCCTTCTGTTTTTTTGTCATTGGATTAGAACATGTCTTTCCTGTGCCTATTTTAATATCACCATCCATGGGAGTTTGTTTGGCTTCTTTCAAGCTGCAAAAGGTGTGAGGCAGGGGGATCCCATCTCCCCTTACCTCTTCACTATAGCAATAGAACCACTCTCGTGAGTTACCTTTCCATCCTCAGCGTAGAGCAATTGGTTTGACTCATCTTGTTTTTCTTTTATGATCTCCTTATATTCACCAAAGGGTCGGTTATGGCTCTTAGTAGAGTTAGGCAGATTATGGATTTCTATAAGCTGGCAGATCTTCAATGCAACCCGGACAAGTGTGAAGTATTCTCTGGGGGACAGGCTAAACAGTTTAAGAAGAATGCTATCAGGGTCTCAGTGTTTAAAGAAGGTCATCTGCTAGTGCGATACTCGGGACTTCCTTTGATTGCAGGAAAATTAACTAGTAGAGAGTGTTCAATATTAGTTGATAAACTTACTATTCGTATTAGAGGTTGGAGAGCTAACAAACTTTCCTATGAAGGAAAACTCCAACTTATTGATTCTTTCCTGTATTCCATTATTAATTACTGGATGGCCATTTTTGTTTTCCCAAAGAAAATTATTAAGGCAATTCATAAGGTGTGTGTTGACTTTTTGTGGCATGGGGATGGGACTGGTCGAGCTAAAGTGGCATGGGAGAACCTGGTTGTGCCTAAGCAGGAAGGAGGATTGGGAATGAAAGATTTACTCTCCTGGAATGTGGCCTGTGTTTCTAGGCTTATGTGGCTGCTCCTCCTTCAAGGAGGCAGTTTCTGGGTAGCTTGGATTCAAAAATATAGACTTTGTGGGGAGTCCATCTGGCAGGTTAATATCACATCTTCAGGTTCATGGATTTGGAAGCAACTGCTGAAATTAAGACCCTGGGTTAGTTATAGAATGGATGTTGATATAACAGGTAGGGTTACATGGCCGGGGAACCAGATGCAAAAATACTCTATCTACTGTTTGGCAAGCTATTAGGCCTAAATGACCGGTGCTTTCTTGGTGGAAGGTTGTCTGGAATAAGTTTCTTTTGCCTAGAAATTGTGTGGTGTCTTGGCTTGTTATTTTGGATCGTATAGCTACTAAGAATAAGCTGGAACTCTGGGGTATCTTGTAAGAGGATTAGTGTGTACTCTGTAAAAAAGATGTAGAGACTCGAGAGCATCTATTTTGTAGTTGCAGGTACACAATTGATTTTGTCTCCAGCTTGTTGCAGCAAGGAGTCACTCTGCCTCCCGCCTAGGGTGATATACTGGGTCAGATGTGCACTAACGCTAAGAAGGGAGGTAGCAATGGATGTGTGGCGGTGGTGCTACTGTATTCCTATCTCTGGAAGGGGAGGTGCAAAAGGTGTTTTGGGGAGCAACCTAAATCTTCTACCCAATTATTAGAGCAGCTTAGGGTGGATATTAACATGTATTGTTGTGGGAATCTTGAGTTCAGCTCATGAGTACAGCGTTCAGATTTTTCTAGCCTTCTTTTTGTCTAGATCTCACTGTGGTGTTTCTGTAGTGTGTTGGCTTTGTCCAAATGTATTTTTCAACTCTTAAGCTGGAGTTTCAGCTTAAGAGAGCTTAATAGATTGCTAATTACCAGGGAAAAAATCTAGACAAGACACTAATATTATAAACAACAGTTTATGAGAGATGGAAATCGGTCTTAATATTAAAGGAATTGAAACGTTGGTGGATCGAATTGGGAGGAATTTTCCCTGATTAGATTTTTATTTTGGTAGAGACAAATTGTAGAGGGAAATCAAAATGAGAAGAACGAAAAGTAGGGAGGGAAACATTATAAAAGTGAAAAGTTGGGATGAAAATATCAAAATGAGAGGGGGAAGTTTCCCAACTAAATGAAAATGAGGTGGGAGAATTAGTGAGTATGATTAAGTTTCCAACCTAAATATAAAATAATATGCATTTGAGTTAGAATAACTCTTTACATGTTCTCAAATCTACTATATCAAATTAGTCATGCCTAAAAGCTATAGTAAGGTTTGTTATAGAATATAGACAATATTTTAGTCATTAAATGCTACACTCCTAAATCATCATATGCAAATATTGTGATATCAAATCAATAATTAATAAACTCGCAAACCATCAAATGTAAGCATTGTGATAAGCTTTCTCTCTTCTTTCTCTTAAAAAAATACATAAATTTTCCCCTAATTTTTCTTTTCATAAATAAAAAACATCAAAATTTCCCACCCTTTTCCCTTCCTATAAATCAAAATCACCAAAACTTGAAGCACCAAATTTCCCTCTTCGTTTTTTCTCAAAAAGTTGAAAACATCAAAATTTCCATTTCTTTCTCTTCCTGTAAACCAAATCACCAAAATTCCCCTTCTTTCTTTTCCCAAAACTTGAAGCACCAAATTTCCCTCTTTTTCTCCAAAAAGTCGAAAACACTAATATTTCTCACTTTTTTCTCTTCCTATAAATCAAAACACCAAATAGCCACCTTCTTTCTTTTCACAAAAAATTTGTGATATCTCAGTCGAGACAAGCACTGTCAAATGCAAGGTGTCTCGGTCTTAAGGCCGAGTACACAGTCTAAATTTTGGGGATGAAATTTTTCTAGGATGGAGGAAATGTAACACACCGACAATTGGGTATGGGTTCGACCGAAAGGTTGGATCGACGATTATATACAAAGGGTGATAACCGGGGATCGGGATTAATAATAATATCAATTATTATACTATTATTATTGTTAAAATAAAAAGAGGAAAGGAAAAGATATATCTTCCCTCCGTTACTCCCTCCCTACTAATTATTTCCAAGCCCACTTTAATTACATAATCCCACACTTGTTAAACCCCCTCTTTCCACCACAAACGTTTCCCTGAAAGCACCTCTCTTTTGTTAGAGGAAACAGTAACGAGATTAATAGGAGGAAGAAAGAAGAATCCCCACACTAACCCTTGTTCCCCCGACCAATCTCGACATCGTATCCTCCATCCGAGCTTCGTTGCAGTAAGAAGGAAACGAGAACAGCATCTCCCGACGACCACCAGTGAGAGAGATATAGACGGTGACGTTAACACCATTGTTCCTCTTCCTCTAGCCGATCAGTCCTCCCCAAATCCATGTTCCTAAACCGTAGTCGATGGCCAGGCGTTAGAGGATTGTCAGAAAGTACGCTGGCGGTACTGAATTCATTACGTCGGTACGGTTGTGTAGAGAACAAGAACAGGATCTTCACGGTCTTGACGAAATTAAATTTGGACGTCACACGAAGGAGATTCGAGCATCTAAAGTTTGGGACGCAAATTGGATAGTTCAGGTACCGATTCTTTCCATTCGAAAAATTAGAGGATTAGTTCTGTAATTTTCCAGAGAGGCGATCGTCAACTCTGTTGACTGGCAAAATTATAGTTTCAGTACCTGGTACTTTTAAACTTACAAAATGTTTATTTTGGTAGTAACTCGATGATTTGGCAT